AGTGGGAGGCCACGTGGATGCTCATGTCCCAACAGCTAAGGGGACAGGGGTCAATGACAGACCCCAACTGGATGGCAGGTGGTGGGGTGGGGAGAGGGTTTCTGCCCAAGGAGGAAAACAGGCCAGAGATCCATCTGAATAGCAAAAAAGAGTTAGAGAGGTGCAACACATGTTGAGGAAGGCCCTAAACATGATAAAGGGGACAGAATGGATAGAAAAGTATTTGCGAGCCAAAGGGGGAGAAATGAGAGGTGGCAGGACCATGTGAAAAACAAGCAGGATGAGTAGTAAGGACTGGAAATACAGTGAGACACTAGGGGATAAAGAGAAGAGACTGGTAAAAACCATGTTACATCAAAAGGCGAGACCACCAACAGCTGCTGAAGCCTCTGTGTGACCAAGCAAAAGAAGAAAGGCTGGAAGAGGACTGTGTGTGCAAGGCCTAGAAATGAGAAGTTAGAAAAGCATCTGAGCTACCAAGGCAGACGGGGGAAAGGCTGCAAGGAAGAGGCTGAGGAGCACCACAAAGGCTGAAGGGCAGCAGAAACTATGGGAACAGCACCTGAAACAAGGAGGAGAAAAGAAGCTGCAGAAGAGGCAGCAACACCACTGGTGAGGGAAGAAAGGTGGAGAAGCAGGGGAGACATCCTGGGGGCAAGAAGAGAGGCCAAAGAAGCACATGATGCAGGAAGGGGAAGAGGAGAGAGACCGCAGAAGCACCTGAGGCACCAAGTTCACCTAACATTTTCCAGCTTCCACACAGTAGGGTTTATGGTAGTTATCCTTCCCAACACTGTTTACTGAAATTTCAAGGCCTAAATTAACAAGGTTCTCATTTTTTTCCTGCTCATACCAATACATCTCAACTTTGAAAGGCTTAAAGGCAGCACATTACACTCAAGCAATGCCTCCGAAAACTTACCTGGCGTCATCCACTCTTCTTCAGTATGGAAAAAAACCCCAATTATTATAGTGAAAAGCACTCAGACAGTCCAACACCAACATTTCCATCACTTGGCTCAAGCTGCCACACAAAACCTGGCAAACACATGGGAAGTGGATGTTCCAATGTGCCGTGATCCCTGCTTGTAAGCACCTGTTCAACTAAAATAGGGTTACATCAAGAAAAGGACACTAGCACAACATTAGAAGACAGACAACCTTAACCCTTCCCTTACACCTCAAAAGAAACCTGAAACAGTTAACAGTCATCATCACCAGCAAGCACACCCAGGAGAGAGAGCGCCTAAGCCCAGTTAATGGGGAAGGGAAACTCACCTCAGGCTACCATCCAAAAGTCTGCCTCAAACTTGCTGCTGCAGTGTTGGGGACCACTAGGAAGCTCTGCTCCATGTACTGCCACTCCCCTGCAAGGGACTATGAAGTGTCAGCTCTCAGATCCTGACCTACAAGGGCAATAAGGGTTTTCACCTTACTGCCCTTGTAACCTAATGTTCAACCTACCTGAGCACTAGTGCTGAGCAGAGGGGGCTAATGTCTGAAGAATTCTAGTTGCCTTTCCAGTCCTGAATAACTAAAAGACCAGATTTATTTTTCATTATCATGGGTTGTAGTAAAGGCCGGTGAATGGATTTGCAGACACTTTTTTCCCAAATGTATTCAGCAATTTTGCCAGTAAGGTTACTGCAGCCTGGACTTGGTAGTTGTCCTGACAGTTTTGCACATCAGCCTTAAAGTACTTCCTTTGACCAAGTTAACCCTATCTTCTGGAACAGCCTCCTTCCACCACTGCTCCTCAGCAACTTGTTCAGTTTCATATGTAGTTTCCTAACTAGGGCCTGAATATCTCATCCTTTATTTTTAACTTACCAAAAGTGTGTTGGCAGCATCTACAAAAGGGTATAATTGTTGGGCCAGCTCAAGCAGTTGGATAACACGATGGCAACTAGAGGGCACCATTCGTTGTGGAAAGACAGACATGCACTGTAGTGGTTTTAAGACTGCTATAACAATCCCTATTTTCCTACTGTTTTTTATTTTAAATCTTAACTACAAGATTTTTGCTGTCTTACACAGAACTGCCAAGCTCTGTCTGTCCAACACAGATGATCAACACATGTTTAATTATTCTGTGAAGCTAGTGGGCGTATGGTATTTAGGGAAGATACTATGTAGTACATATGGTATCTTGTCCCGGAACAGCCCTGATAGCAGGCCAAAGCAACGTGATGATTTTCTTTGGGCGAGAGCATTCCTGGGCTTGTATTGGTCCCTCTGCAGTTTTCTTTTATATCCAGTCAATACTTACATAGGTTTACCCACACTTTCTAAACAATGCACCTCAGATAGCAAATAAGGTAGGTATTACTAAAAAGTAATTGCTTTCTGGCTGGATGTTCAAGGTCTCTGACACTTGACTGAATGAATCAAGTACCTACCCTTTCCTTTATTGAAGGCCATACACACATGCTTAGGAAATGAATTAATTACACACACACCCCATAAATATAATTGTGCGCCTGAGACGCACTCTGGTAGTAGAACAGCAGTGTAGTGGTATTAAGAAATGCCTCCTTCAGTGTGGGTGTGCATCTTCATTGCATCATTTTGTCAGGAGATGGCATGCTGTTTAGGATGCTTCAGAAAATCTCACTCGTCTAGCAACTGAATGAATAGCATGTGGATCTTGGATTTTGTTTTCGCATTTGCTTCATTTGGCATACCTGGTCTTTGGCACTTGTTTCTGGCTAACCACAAGATGCTCTCTCTACACGTGTCTTGCTTTTTATCTCACCCAAGCAGTTTTCTACCTTTCCCTCTTGAGTGTCTGAAGAGCCCTAGTTTAGCATTGCCAGAATTGTTGAGCATCGTTCAGTTAATGGCTAGCTCCTGTGAAAACCCCATCTTTTTGGCCTGTAGGGTTCTATAGCAGGCCCAGGTCCCAGGGCCTGCTGTGATGCCCTGTGGTGGCCATGCAACTCCTGCCCCACTTGGGCCCCTAGGCATAGCCTCCCTTCTTGCCTGGCAAGCCTTGCTGGAATGATGGTGCAAGGGAAGCTGTCCCGGAGGGAGCCATAACCTGTGCTGGCCAGCAGGTCCTTCCCATACTCAGCTGAAACTCACTCCTACCCCTCAAACACTAAGTGGAGGCCCTCCCAACCCTGTCAGTACCTCAGGACACCGGTTGCCTTAGGGGCTGTTGTTGGTAGTCTCCTGCCCCTGCAGCTACACCCATGACGGCTGGAGACCCTCTGGGTTAAAATCCGTGGGGAACACGTCACAGGGGTCACAATGGTGGGAGTCTACTACAGACCTCCCACTCAAAGTCCTGAGCTTGACCAGGAGTTTGCCCAGGAACTGGCTGAGGCAGCATGCTCCAGGACCATGGTTGTCATGGGTGACTTCAATTACCCGGACATCTCGTGGGAGGATCGCTCAGCAAAATCTGAGCAGTCGCACAGCTTCCTCTCGTGCGTGGATGACCTCTACCTGACTCAAGAAGTCTATGGGCCAACGAGAGGCAAAGCGCTGCTCGACCTGGTACTGGCTACTGGGGATGACCTAGTCGGCGACCTAGTGATCGATGGGAAGCTGGGTGACAGCGACCACGAGCTGATCACCTTCACCATCCGCCGAAAAGCTGGCAAGTC